GATGCTCCAAGCGAGGTGTTCGTTACACTGTAACGCTGGCTAACAGAACACAACAAGTTTCATTTGACCAGCTAATTCATAATTACTTTACAGTAATTCAATTCAATTATGCAAGAAGGAGCAAAGCTCTTAACAAAACCGATTTACTGGGCTCTCAAGAGAGCTCGAGTTGCATCACACCACTTACTGCTAATTCTAAACTGCCCAGCCAATATCTTAATAATAATTGCATTTCCTCGCAACAAGTTCGCGTTTCCAGAAATTAAATGAGAAAGTAAGTTTCCTTTGATCTGCTTCCTAAATTAAAAATTTATTATGACTCATAGGTTTTGCATGTGTTCGGAGAATGTTCCATTTTAGCTACCTCTGAATGAAGGTCCTGTATTCTATGGAGTGTTTGTTATAATTGTCCGAACATAATCGATACGAACTTTATTTGATGATCTTACATTTTGATTGTGTAAATCCTTGAAAAAAGTGCATTATTTGTCGATGTTTTTGGAAAAATATTATAAGGTATCGAAACATAAACAATAATATTTTTTCCTTTATACATCTCATTCAATGGAAGAAGCCATAGCCATAGCTTCTTTTCAAAGAGGAGGGAAGCAGTGAGATCTCTATAGGCTGTTAATGTTGTTATTCTTATGGTAATTTTTTTGAAGCTTCCGTAACAATACCAGTGTTGTTTAGATTTCTAAAACAGTCAGCATTGATGCAAATTGCCTTTTGAAATTAGGAAACGTTTCTTATTCATTTTGATGAGGACAGAGGGACTTGTCTAAGATCTTCCGAAGGAAGTTAACTTTTTTCTGGAAAAAAGTAGAAGACCTCCATGGTGAAAAGTCAAGAATTTATAAAAATTATTTTTGTTGTCTCTTGTCACGCCATTAAACTGAAAGTAAACGGACTGAATCGGCTTAAAGCCAAGAACCATCGAGAAAATTTATACCAATGTGATTATGTCTTTCTTTTGGAGTCAATAATTTTCTTCTGAATAAATGATCGTCCAAGTTTCGGACAAAAATTGATGGGGTGTAGTTCGTGAGGGCCAGTTTTGTTCCTTTGCATAGACTGTAAATGTAATGACCGTAGAGTAAATAAATATTATTCTTTTCGCCATAAAAATGATAAATTATCCGTTGCGTTCTGGTAAATAATTATTTGAAGACTCAGAAGACAAACAATCACTCGATACCAACATTTTTATACATTCATGATATCTTCCTGAGCCAGCCATTTTAATATTTAGGGAATAGCATTGGAGGTCATGTTTATGGCTGGCGAAAAGTTTCATTTTTCACAGATTTTTTCCTTTCGGGATAAAACGTCATTTCTCTTGTATGCCATAATATTTTTAATTTTGGATTTTGTAGCGTCAAGCGAAAACTAAGGATATCGCCCGGCGCAATCATCCGTTTAGTGTTAGAGACAAACTTAATTTAAAATCGTTCCCAGTTCTGCTGTATTGGCTATTAACGGCCTGCACATAACGGATCGTTTTAGAATATAAAACCCCAATTCCTTAAAATATCATCTGAGAGTTTAAAAGTTTCTATTTTTACTGTTTTTGTTAAATATCTTTGATCACAGTTCTCATTTTTCCTTCAAGTTATCAAAAATTGGTAACAACAGCTTCACCTTCTCAGACTACTCAGGAGGGTAACCAAAAGGATCTTCGGTTGTTTGTAAGCAGCTCCCCCAGCAGAAATGATAAAGAAACATCATAGTTTACTCCTAAATCCTAATTTTGTTAGATGATGCTATAAAACTCCTCTCCGCCCTCTTCCCTATTAAAAAAATATACCCACCCCAATTATCAACTACTATCGGAAAGTTTCGATGAAATTCAGGAAAAGAATCTGTGGAAAAAACTTGATCTATTCGGGAAAAAGGCTTTTCAAGAATCTCAAAGCTATTTTGAAATTCTTGAAAAGCAACAAGCTACGGAAACCTGAGAACTCTGTTCCGATCACTTGGTCAATGTAACAAGGCCCGAGAGTATTAGGAGAAAGCGCTCGCTGGCGACAGGGATGGAGAAGTAACAAACTATGGAAACCTAGGAACTTTGTTCCATTCACTTGGTCAATATGACAGGACCTTAGAATATCAGGAGAAATAGAATTTTCAACTTTTAATAATTCGGCTAATCGCTCCGTGCACTGCTTTTCAAGTTTAAATCGCCTACCCGAATAAAGAGATTATATAAACTCAAATAGATGACCGATGCTGTACATTCTTAGGAAAATTCCTCTTTGTAAGAGTGGTTCAGGTTTAATTTTCCCCTTTCCCTCCCCTCCCTAAAAGAGGTATAATTTCTCACTTACATGAAGCGAGATCCTATCGATCATGACATCTCGTGATTGTTACAATATTTCCGTCTTATTTAGATTAACACCCTTAAAAGATAAACGAAGATAGTAATATGTTGTCTTTTAGGGGTACAACTCTGATCAACTCAGCCGTTCCTCTTATTTACCAACTTTGTCTTCGATGACGCAAATCGCATTTACTGGAAAATGAACAGCTCATGAAGAGACAGTCATCGAGCACAAATAGCTTACCGTTTCAAGACAGAAGCTCCAATTCAGTACTGTAACAAGTCTTGATTGTAATTTTGGGTTAAAAATCCAACGGCTCTTTCAAAACAATGTGTACTGAGACCGGATGTTACCTGCAACAATAGTGAATTGTTTCATTTTTGCATGCTCACATCCGTCATCGGTAAAAAAGTTAAATGTGCAAAACCGAAATATATTTTTATCAGATGGCGTCGCTTTAAAAGTAGGATAACAAATATCCATCTCTCCTTATCTTTCCTTCATTGGAAGGATTAAAATAAATTTCATTTAAGATTTTGTAACGGACATTTGGAATTCATACTTTTCACAGAATGGTCGGAATTCTGCTCGAGGCTGGAGTGTTAGTAGATAGCCCTTCGGCCAACTCAGAGGATGTCAGAATTTAATCTTCAGAGAAGGTAGCTTGAAACAAATCATCATGTCCAGTGTCGGTTGAAATACCAGTTAATTCGTCGAATTTGGTCAGTGTTTGGCAGGTCTAGGTGGGGTTAAAAACGTTAAACCGACTTTGCCGGTTATGAATTTCTTTCAATTTCTATCGCGCCTATTAGAATTCTCTTCCGCCAGGTCATTTATCACATCATTTATAAGTGAACGAGGTGTGAAACAGTTTTTAAAACCGATGCTCCAAACCAAACTCTTAGTCTATGTCAAGGCAAATTAATGGAAGTGAATCAGTTGTTTTCAAAGACAGTACTTACCACAACCTGAAGCCTTCAGTGCCCTGCTAAGAAAATAATTTTAATCATCTCTTTTCGTCCTTTAAGTTTTTTGTAACACACATCATACGTCAGTCACACCAGGCAGCCAATAAAATGTGGTTGTCTATTTCTGTTCGACTGTAGGTGCCATAGTCATTCTCTTCCCCAAGCCCGCAGAACGTAACGGCCAAACGTAAGCGCCAGTAGAAAAAGTCCTTTTTAAAAGTATTATAAATTACCTATTAATTTTGTCCGCTTGTCGTTGGCCAATTTACGTAGGATTTTTATCAGACCAAGCGCAGGACAATCTTTTATTTGTGGAGCGTTACTCTAATGTATGCACCGGGCACCTTTTCACTGACAATTCACTTGGCGAGGAAACTGTGAGAAACTATCTAACATAAAACATGGAGATATTCTCCACCGTTAGATTCGAATTAATTAACAACCTGGTAGCTTATGAGCCAAGCGAGGAAAACGAATTCGCTCCAAGGACAACTGGAGAAGAATCAAGGAAGTAAATTAATTTGTTTGTCCTCATGCTAATTGTCCTTCAGTAATTCGTTAGGGGGAGGAAGCTTTCTCTCCTCTCCTCCTACAGACCTTCTCTCAGCCTCCAGGACCTTTTCGAACGAACGGAGAGAAGCCTGGGGCGAGCAAGAGGAAGCAGGTGAGGGTGCCAAGCCTCAGATCGATGCTTTTGGACGATTCATTCAGATTTCTGATGTGAATGCTAGGTTTTCATGACAAGAGAATTTCTAGGTAGTCAGTAGTTTTTCATGTAGATATTTGTGTTTTTAACCCTTTGAACTCTTGGAGTGACCAGCATTTCATTTCTCCTCACAATAATACTACTGAGTCACTCATTAAGATAACGAGAATATGGCAAATGATCACCAACTTAGGAAGCTTTGGTTGTTAAACAAATTCTCTTTGTTAGTACCAGAAGAATTACATAGAGAAAAGTCTAGAGAATATACATACTGATGTTTGGCTGTAGAGAGGTTTAAGTTTCTGTCAATGCAAAATGATCAAACTCATTCCGGCATTAAAAACAAATCAGAAAGCATGTCTTGCACACCATTACTTTCAATGAGGTAGGAAATAATACATTTACCCTTTCAGGTTCCCAATATCTCAGTAGTATACAATTTTTATGATGTTAGTTAAGAGAATTTTGTATTTGACGAACTTATAGTCCCATAATTAAAATTGTCTTTATTCTCATCACTTGTCTGCTTGATATTGTATTGATACAGTTAGGAGAAATTTTGTCTTGGTCATTTACAATAAGTGAGAGTTGAAGGTTTATGCTGACAGAGATATAATTCTCAACCAAGTGTTCCCATTAACAAAAGGCAAACAAACCAATGCTAGTAAATGTTTCTTTTTTTTATTGCTTATGTTTTCCAAGTTACAGGTTAGTATTAACAGCATTTCCATGGCTGTCCTGAACATATGAAGAAGCAGAAGCCACTAGAGAACTGATACTATCTACTCAACATTCTATCTGTCAACATCAAGAACACAGCCAAATATTAATCTTTAAAGAAATTTCTGATTTTAAGGTAAACATAATTAGTTCTAAAGTTTACCACAAAACAGTGTTCTTAGTTAGATCTAAATCAGCCTTCACTTTGATGGTTGTTTTCTAGATCTTACTTGGTAATAAGAGTAAACTTATATATATGCAAACCCCAATGCTAAGGAGTAAGTTCTAGAAACCATGCATATGTATCTGGTCTGGTTTAGCCAGTTTCAGCTGTCTCAGAAAATCACTGATATTCTGACGCTGGTCACCTTGTAGCTGTATCACCTCCCCATATTCTGAGTTTTCAACAACTGTTCCATTGCAGTTGAATTCCTGCAAAGGCAAAAAAAGGAAAAATATTGAACACATGGCCCTCATTGTTTCAAGGGTAGTTACCACTATCTACAGCACTTTCATGCTACAGCTTGCTTGCATTCAGAATATGGTGGTTTTAGAACACACCCAATGAAACAAGACAGGTTCCTGTTTAGGACCAAGTTAGGTACATAGATTATGACTCTCCCAGTAACACATGAAAGGTTAAAGAAGCCAGCCACATTAGATTTATTCCTAATAACATCAATAGAGATAACAGAATTGAAATTCCTTACACATGAATGCCTACTATCAAAAAGCATGATAGCTGATCAGTAACAAAGTGAACCTATAGGGGAAACAATGTCTACTACTCAGAATAACAATGAGGATCAAAATGCACTATTGACAGCGTGCCATAACCAACCAATAACATCAAACCAAGGTGCCTAAAATAGTGACAAATAAAATTTCAACCTCGTCATCTAACAAAGACTGGCCATATAGCATTTGAAATGTCACAATCAATACACAATTGTAAAGCATGTACATGGGGTGAGTGATTTTTTCACTTTACTCCAGTTCTTGAAACATCCCAAGTGGGTTATTATTCCAGTTAACCAATAGTAATTATGGTCTCTTGCTCTATAAAATACCGTAGTTATTCAGTTATAGGGCACACCGTTTTTTTCAAGAAATTCCTAATTTCTACTAAAAATTACCGCCAAAGTTTGGGTGCGTCTTATAGGCGAATATTTTCCCGAAACAATTTTTTTTTTATCACAGTTACTGGTACGATTTCAAGCAAATAAAAGGACACAGTGTTGGACATTGACTTTTATAAATATGGTGGTTCTGAAAAGACGAGCGAAGTCAAATTTGCATAGATATGATATGTGCTCGAAAGCACGTGCTCAGTAATTTTTTTTGTTTGTGCGCGTGGTCGCGTGTGCGACAATTCTGCTTTTGTTAATTAACGGTAAATTAAAGGTAAATTAAAATCAATACGTGACTTTTTCGCTTTTTTGTAAGTTTATGAAAGAATTTACAATAAACTTGACCGATCTTTACTCCCCAAACAACGGTGCACCTTATAACCAAGTATTTTAGCGATATTTTCAGTTTGAAAACATGCAATAATGAAGTTGCCGAATTGGGGGTGCGTCCTATAGCCGAGTGCGCCTTATAACCGAATAACTACGGTAAACTTAAAACAAAGCAACAGCATGTTCTAATTTTCTACAGGTTACCACTCCAATAAAACTAGGTTTATAACCAATCAGGGCACTTGTAAGTACTTCAAAAACATTTACAAATTCCAAGCTATTCTCAAATTGACCATAAAGTCCATTCTCCTTGATTGCAAGTGGTTTAAAAAACTCCTATTTTCCACCAATTCCTTTGCCAAGATGTTGTCAGACGGTTTGTAATAAGAGTTTGTTATCGAAGAGTTCAATAGGCCAATCACATTGAAAGTTGTAGTTTAAATCAACCAATCACATTCCAAGTTTCATTTTAAATCAACCAATCACATTCAAAGTTGTATTATACATCAACAAATCAAATAATTAAACAATTTAGGCCAACTCTGTCAATCTTTTAATGCAAATTTGCCCCTTCTTTCATAACTTGGCTCTTCTTACTTTCTGGGAAATTGTAATTATCGTTACTGATTGGACCGAATTGGACAACACTAAGCCATATTATGACTTATTGTCATAATTATTATACTTGTGATGAAAAAATTGGACTCCCACTAAGTGGCTGTCCTGTTTTGTTATCGCTTGTATGATTACAGACCGAATTGGACTCCACTCAGTCCTATTACCATCACAAATTAATTCACTTATGATGTTGGTACATGAATTTGAAAACTTTATTTTCAATTCATTGTCTTGCTCTGAAACAAGCAAAAATACAGTACAGTTTAGAACATAAAAGTAAATTGCTTGTGTTGAACCAGACTTTAAAAAATTGACAAGTTTCTGGTAAACAATTGATTGCATCATTCACGTATCTCATTAGCATTTTTATATGAAGATCTATGCATTACTGCCCTGGGCACAAATTATTTGTGACCAAAAATCTGCACCAAGTTTCGAACCAGTTCTTTTTGGACCATGACCGTAGTTTACCGCGGAAGACTTTGAGGAAAAACTTCTCTTTTTTTAAACAAAAATCAAACGTATAAGGAAAGGAAATTAAATATGCATAAAAAAAGTTGCGACTGTGCAGAAACAGTTCACGAAAATCAAGGAAAGAGGTTTAGTTATAGATTTTGTATAGAATCGCATCCTGTCCCTGACACTTCATAGGGACCGTAATAGAGCTACGAAATAAATGAAAGTATTAATACACATATTTCCATGCTTCAACTTGCGGCTAAGACTTGCTTTGGGTCTATTAGGCTCAATTTAGTTCGAAATTTGACAATTTTATTTCAGCAAGTCGTACATTGATTTCTTGTCGATATTCTTGTGGTAGAAAGTAAAAGTACGCTTGTCAAAATAAGATCTGATTGCCAGTGTATCGAACGGATTTGCAGTACGCCAATTTCTCTAAGAAATGTAGCGTTGAAATGCTTTACACTCGCCATGATCATGAGCGTTTGAACAAACCTTTTTGAAAGCTTTCACAAGTTTCTTCTTGTCATAGCATTCTTCGATTCCTTGTACCGTGGTCAAAGTTTTACGACCATTTCTCTGTTGTATGCGGATGTGTATTGGTTGGGTTTGAGCTGATATTTCATCGGTACCCTTAGAAGCATCCGAGAAGGGATCTAGAGAATGAGAGACAGCAGAGAGATAAATTATCTGTTAAATAGTAGTTGAAGCTTGAACCTAATAAGGCGAAAAAAGTGCCGAAGAAAGAGAAATTACCGTAAGTTTGGAGATTCTGGATTGACATGCGAATTTCTTGAAACCAACCTGCTGGAAATATCGTTGAAATGAAGGTGGATGTTCACGATTCGTGAAGATTTTCTTGACAGTTTCCGCGTCAGTTGTAACTGTGAAGTTGATGGCAGAGCACAGACCGAGCGCAACAAACGGAACTGATGTCATCAAACGTCATCAGTCATGTGACATTCAGACAGGTTCTATTTCGTTTGCTCAGTCAATGCGAGAAAAACCCCGAATTGCTGCAATTAACTAATGATACATTGTTACTTGAGAATTTTTGAGCGGTTTCAGCCATCTTAGTACTTTTGGTTTCGTTTCCCTTCGTTTTAATTTGAAAATTGGCGATCGTTCAAAGAGATGAAACCGCTATGTTGCGAATGACCGCAGGCTCAGAATAATGGCTTTCATCCGAGAACACTCAGCGGAACATGTAGCAAGCGATATGTAATCATGAACAGTACTGGTCCAAAAGCTCCTGAAATCAGAGTGGTATGCAAACATGCACGATGCATTTGAACATGCAGTTATCCTGGAGAAGCTGCCATTGCAAATAGATTGCATAGCTACTTTTGGTAAGATCGGAATTACGGAATACTCCGTGATAAAATAACAGCTAAAATTTCTCTTGAAACTAAAAGCACGCTTGTACAGCTTTTAGCCATCAGCTGTTGATCAAACTTTGACGGGTAATGTTTTAATGAGCAGTCTTATAAAATCTGGATTCTGTGTTATGTGTTTCAGAGAACACGTTTAAATTCTAATTTATAATTTTCTTATTTGTGACGTGACAAACATTGCCTCAAAGCACTTATTATAATCTAGAAATGAAATCACTCATTCTTTATATGATAAGCTGAGTCAGTATGTACCACATAGATGAGTAGTGCTTTTGGCATGCATTGATTGATTGAAAGAGATCAGCAAGTACTATTTACCTCTGAGCAACCTAAGAGACAAAAGTGCAGGCCAACAATTTAATATCCTATCATTTTTGGTATATTGACAGAAATAAACTTACTTTTTTGGTTTCTGTGTGGTACATACAAAAAATTTTTCACCTCAGTGTCAGTGAAAATGGTGGATATTTACCTCACTACTTCACAGCTTGGTAAATATTCACCTCCAATAATTGAATAATTGTTAATTTTACACTCACCGTGATTAGTTTTTACCAATGATCTATGACAGTACAGATGCATGGATGATTTTACTATTGTTGACATTTTGTTTTTGTATCAAATAAAACAGATAGAATCTAGAATCAACACACCATCAATAAATTTAAGGGGAATTTAACTTGCTGATGACTCAACCAAACTCTCTTACTTACAAATCATTGCCAGAGGGGTGGTTATAATTTCTGATGGTTTTGGAATATGACTGGCATAAGAATGTTACCTGCAATTACATTACAACTCACGCTTACACCTTTTATTTGCATGATCTGCGCAAAGTCAAACTTATATGGATAGCCACACAGATTGGGGCTAGGAGGGGGACTGGTTTTGTACAGAATCCATGTTGCTGTGGTTCTGTATAGTAATAGTACACAAAATTTCAAAATGTGGTAGAACATCATTGACGCATTTCTTTTGTTCTTACCACGTCTTGATGTTGTCTTCGATCTATTAGTGAATAGACGTCCATCAACATGGACTCTATTTGTTAAATGGGTCAACTGGGTTGCAGAATAACAACTGGGGAGATGTGTTTTACCAATTCATCCTTTCAGGAAATGTGGTTAATATTTGTTTCAGGGGACAATCTTCTTGTTGGAACAAGACAGGGGCACTTGCTTTTGTATGGTGTTTTAGATGGCACAGGTAATAAAATTCTGCTACACCCACAACAAATTTTTAAGGCTTTTTAGTGTTCCCCTGAAGCAACTGCTGCCAGTGATTTCATCAGCTTTTTGTTTCCAAACAACTGTCTACTCTAATTAGGAGAAACCATAAAAGAAACCAGAAAGGAAACAGTGAGTAAAAATAAGAGGAACAGGTTCTAGCAGAATTGATGCTACACACTCACTTGTTTACTGCCAACTGTTACTTTTTCATGTCTGGCTACTTAACCTCTTACACCTAAGCATCAGTATTGATATTCTCCATACTCTGCCCTTTATTCTTGTGACCTTTATAAATGATTCAGCTGTATTACTATAGGGAGAAAATAGATGCTGGTCACTAGCATTTCAAGGGCTTAAAAATCTGTGAAGAACACTGGCCTTTTGCGCTGATAAGAAATATTGTCTTTGTTGTTATTTCCTAAATTGGCTGACTGCTGTCCTTCCTGAAAGAAAGGTTACAGCAGTTTTCTTGTCATGGGCTCTGAAAGGAAGTGTTGGACCAGTTGCCTTGGTGGAATCCTGTGGGAGCCCTGTGCAGTTATAGACTCTAAAGGGACTGATGATAATTCATTCTTTCTCATCTTTAATTTTGTTTCTGTTAAAAATAGGTGACAACAGGTTTGACGTGGAGCTACGAAGCTCCAACAAATTGTTCTCAAAGAAGCCTATATCACAGGTAAGTTATACAAATAACAAACAACATTATGATGCTGTAATGGCTAATTCTCTGAGCGGTTTTATTGACAAAGGTATTCACTGATTCATTGAATTTTTGCAACTCAATTCCTTTTTATAATAAGTCAACTTATTGCTCTTGCTGTAAGGTCTTAACCATTGCCTGGCTACCTCAGGTGGTAGAACGTTGGTCTGCCATGTGGGAAGTTGAGGGTTCAAGCCTTGACCAGACCAACACTTAGGACCAACACTGCCTTTGTTATGGCATCTGCAAGTGGTAGACATTCTAGTCTTAATCAATGAAAGCTGTAGGTTCCATCTCTTGCTTCCTGTTTGTTCTGGTTGGAAGGGAACTTGTGAAAGAACCCATGCAGTTCTTACAGATTAGGGAACATATTTTCTGGTCTAGCCTTGTTTCCAAAATTTTCACAATTGGGGGTATCTACAAAATTCCCTTTCAAAAATTATAAACTGCTCAGTGCAATATGGAAAGTCCTCCTGCAAAGTATTGTTAAGTGCATCATAGCATAGTAGTATAGATAATGTGCTTTATGAAAATGTCACATCATCATCATCATCATCATCATCATCATCATCATCATCATCATCATCATCATCATCAACATTTAACCTTTAACTCCCAATATCTCATTAGTAATTCTCCTTATGATCTGTCGTACAGTTCTCGTGATATTAGTATGGAGAATTTGGTATTGGATCAACCTATAATCCATAATTGATATTATAAGGAGAAATTCTGTCTTGGTCACTCATGGGAGTTAAAGGTTTAAAGTTGGTTGGGTTGATGGAAAATAGGGTAAACAGAAAAAAGTGATTGTGTTTTCCAGCCAACCACTGTTTTTTTCCCTCTGTTTTTCTCTAATTACTAATAGCTGGAACAGTCTGGAAGACAGTGTACAAACTTTTGTAACGTAGCCAATGAATGGGATTGTTAGGATCCTTACAACTCTGACAGCTCTCCAACTTTGATTCTGTTGCTGCCTGAGAGCATTCAAGTCTGACTAAAATAATTGTTTTGAATTCAAACTTATAATCATTTTTTTTATATTTTCTTGCAGTTAGCAGTAGTTGAGCAACTGAATCTACTGATAAGTTTATCAGGTAATGCGAGGAGAGTGAAATAAATTTTTTAACTTTACAAATTCATGTCATATGTTGGTATTAACCCTTTACTTTTTTTTTTGAATTGGCTACCACTTTAAAGAATTTAGGAGCCAAGTGGCTATCAGAAAAAAAGTTAATTTCACGCCCTGTAGCATCTAATTTCTCCTTACAATATCACCCCTGAATCAAACATGAAAGTTGTGAGAGTAGAGGAGATGATCACCAACTAAAGCAGCTCTTGATTGTGAGAGAAATTCTCCTTGTCAGCCTCTTTGGAAATGTATAGAGAACAGTATGGAGAATATGCATACTGATGTTAGGGTGTAAGGGGTTAAATTGAGCCCTCTGCAAGTGTCAGGTTTCTGTGTCATACTTTTGGATTATTTTATACATTAGTTTGTCGTTTAATAATTTCAACAGTATGATCTCATTTTGATAGTACTTATTAGTGATATACTGGTACATGTAATTTGGAAATTTACTAATTCTGGTATTTTTTCACTCAGATTCTGTTGTTAGTGTACATAACTTGGAGACCTTTGCTCACAAGTTTACCTTGCACAAAACAAAAGGAGCCAGTGTTTTTGCTGTGGATATAAAGGTTAGATTTAGTAATAAGTTAGTTTTATCAACTGAGTTGATAATTAATTATAAAAATAAAATGTAAATTGGCCACCGTAAAGAGTTTTCAAAGATTTTAACAGTGTGTAAAAATTGTGGTAACTCCTGCACTTAAACCATATTGTTGCCTAAGCAGAGTTTGGAGGCTATTTTGAAGTATCTTGTTTGGACAAAATTCCACTTTGAGTGGATTACATATATATATATATATATTTTTTTTTTTTTTTTTTAAAATTTTTATTTTTTTTGGATCTTTACACTGAGATGACAATTGCAACTCTCCCTGGAAGATACCAAGTCACTCTGACTGGCAAAGTTCTTCAGTAAAGAAAGTTGATTTCATGGAATCACCTCTTCCATAAGTAAACCCCTTTGAAGAAATTAAGTTGTCAGTATGTTTGCTTTCAAACTAATATTTTCCCTTTATTTTAACAGGAAAGGAAACAATCCTCAGTGTTTGGTAAGTTTAAAGATTTTCCAAATATCTGTTCAGGTTTTCCATGTACACTGTTACTTTGTTAACCCTTGAACTCATAGACATGATTAACATGAAACTTCTCTCTATAATATCCATACATTATTCAGCAAACAGGTAATGAGAATATTCAGACTTCTCAGGTACTTGTAGAAGCTGCTATCTTGCTCTAGCACCAAGTTCTCATAACTAATTTACAGGAAATGTGTAGCAGCTACAGGGGAGAATTAACAATCAGATCTTGGGAGTTATGAGTGAACTTAAGTAAACCAGCGTGAAATGTATGTTTCAATCCAGCTCCTGTTCTCTTGGTCACTCCTGACACCTCATCACCAGAGCCTACTCCAGTTTCATGGGCACGAGATGTTTCCCTACCAGTTCTTAATTGGGAAATAATTGTATTTTTATTATCATTTATTTAGATCCTTCACCAGCTCTTGAACTAAAGCTATGTGTTTCGGTGAAACGAAAACTACAGGTGAGTGAACAATGCACATGAAAGCATTTAACATAGTGAAAAATTTAGTGCAGGGTAGCACTGTCAACATCACAAGGGAGATATAAAGGAAGGGTTCTTGGTTCATCCTACCAAAGGAAAAAGGAGTGGGTGAGGGAATGATGGAAGGGGAGGAGATTCCGTGATTGCTGATGGCTCTCCTGTCCAAGCTAGTTAGAAAGAAAAGCCCTTTAACCCTTTAATCCCTGAGAGTGACAAGATTCTAATTCCTCTTTACAATTGATCTCTTGAATCAAATGTTTAAGTTGCGAGAATAAAAGAAATGATCAGCAACTAACAAAGCTCTTGATGGTTTTACAAATTCTATTCTTAGAACTTAGGTAATGTATAGAGAACAGTTTGGAGAATATGCATAATGATGTTAGGGTGTAAGGGGTGAAGGGCATTTGTCTGATTCTGAGCAAAAATTTCTAACTTATCAAAATGTTGCCTGCTTAATTTTTCTAGCTATAAAAACTGGTTTGTTATGTAATGTTTCCTTAATTTAACTGAAATTTCAATCCTTTAGTTATTTAGTTGGAGGAATGGAGAATTCCAAGAGCGAGAAGATCTTCTGGTTCCAGATGCAGCAAAGGCATTAGTTTGGTCCGAGGACTCTCTCTGTGTTGGCTTCAAAAAAGAATACTCTCTCATAAAGGTGCTACAATGTTATTCTCCTCTCTAGCTGCTACACATTTCCTTGTAAATTAGTTACAAGAATTTAGTGTTAGATCAAGATAAGAACTTCCACTTGATAGGTTTGAGTATTCTCATTTCCTGTTTGCTGGATAATGTATGGATGTTACAGGAAGAAGTTACATGATAATCACTTTTGCAAGTGAAAGGGTCAGGGGATTGAATCATTCAGCCTACATTCATAACTTCCAAAGATACAGCTGTGTATAACAAAACCATGCACGAATTGCTGTGAAGAAGTGAACTTTCCAGGTTCGATTCTGAAGGAGGCATTTTGGAATATCCAAATTGTGGTTTCTTTGCCATAAAGGGGTGTTAAATAAAGGCATAAATTTTTCTTTGATCATTTTAATGTTGGCTATATACAACAGAGTGAGTCAATTCAAATCATTTCACACACTAACAACTCTAGTGCTTGTCATGTAATAATCATAGTGGCCACCATGGTTGTCATAGTAGATAAGTCTTTTCAAATGAGTTTTGATTATGCAGTTTGATCGTTCAGGTGAGAGCATTTCAAAGAAGGACTTATAATTATTGGTAGTATTGACTCAGGACTACCTTCACGCAGACTATCAGACTACGTGATCACATGATATCCCTGGGTTCAAAACACTTACCTACTGTAAAAAATAATTACCTATTAATGACCAAGAGTGCCATATGGCATTAGGTGCCATTACATGCTAATTATTAGATAATTTTTTCTGAAAATTTTCACCATGGAAAGGTCATTGCAAGATATCATATTGAAGGTATAAAATCATGGTCCCCTCTAATAGAAGACTTGATTTGCACCCCTGCAACTTTTGGGAACTTTTTTTCATTGTACTGTTTTGGTCATGGTGATATCTCACAATAATCAATGCTCTGAGAGCTGCAATTTAAGCCATAGTTTAGTGCTGTACCCTTGATGTATGAGGCAAACAAAAACTTTCAACTTTTCTTTACTTTAAACTTTGCACATGTCTCAGTCTCCACAGTCACCTCCTCCATACCTGTTGGTGTCCTTTACAGCATACCCCAGAAAATGCCTTTAAAATGATATTGTTTACTTGGTCTAATGGTTTGTGGTTCTCATTTTAGAAAAATTTGGCATTTCCCTCGGGTAGTAAATGGTTGAAACAAAACAACAAACACTTTTTTCTTTTGTAGACTGGCACTGGTGCTGCAACAGAGCTGTTTTCCACTGGTCGTCATTTGGAGCCCACAATAGCTTCTTTGCCAAGTGGAGAACTAATTCTTTGTCGCGATGATATCAGCATTATAACTGACAGTGATGGAAAGAAGACGCAGAAACAGACCCTGACATGGTCAGATACACCAACAGAGCTAGGTGAAATATCGACTCTTTTTCACAAGTCCATACAAAATTTTTTTTACATGTATCTGATTTTGAAGCAAACATCAAAACTTTCTTAAACAATTTCAACAAATTTTAAGCAATTTTTACTTTGATATTTAATTTATTTACATATTTAAGGTTTTGACTCTTTCAATTTTAGGAACTTATTCTACATTTTATTCAAAATTTTAACATTACCTAACCAACAAGGCAATTCTTGACAACCCCACTGAAACAGCCATGGCAAGTTTGCTTACTAAATATTAAACACTATTATTATTATTATTATTATTATTATTGTTATTAGACAGTGATTGGTAATTTGATATAACAGATCTCTTTGGCAATGTTCTCCATGTGTACTGCTTCCAAAGCGAGTTACTACGGAAATTTTTTAAGAAGTTTGCCTTAGGGACAAAGAGTTTCACCAAAATTATCCAACAATGTTGTATTAAGGAAATTGTTACTGTTACACCTATGATCACATCTTGCAGCTAAAAAGTTAAGCCCCTTTTATTCCTGTTCTCAATACGTAATCAAAGGGATTTAGATATATCGGAAAAAATGATTTAAAAATTGATCAGTAAAGGAAGCAAAGTTACGTGTATTGATTATTGAAGGAAGCACTAGTGATTGGCAAGCTGTCTTAACCCTTTAACTCTCAGATCAAATTTGTAATTCTCCTTACTATCAACCATACAATTCTCATAATGTTGGTTCAGAGAATTCAGTATTGGATCAACTAATTACCTCCAAATTGATATTTTTCTTTAATCTCATTGCTTATCTGGTTGATATTGTACTAATATTGTAAGGAGAAATTCTCTCTTGGTTAATCATGGGAGGTAAAGGGTTAAACCAAGTAACCAAAAGCTTCTAGACTTCCTTCCACTTTTCAGTGTGTTCAGTAATTCATTAAATTTTAAAGATTGTCATTGTTCCTTTTCAGATTATGCTGAACCTTATGTAATCGCCCTTCTTCCTCGCTATGTAGAGATACGAACTATCAGTCCTCGTGCACTTATCCAGAGCATTGAATTGCCTAAATCCAGATTTATTGCTCGTGGAAAACACTTGTATATAGCATCATCAAGCTATGTGTGGAGGCTCATCCCTGTATCTATTCCCATGCAAATACAACAGCTATTGCATGACAAGCAGTTCAGTCTTGCTCTTATGTTAGCGGTAAGTAATCTGACACTCTTTTCCTTGAGCTCTTAACATAGACCTGCAGTTAACTGTTGGAAGACATCAAGGTGTCCTGGTTTGCACCAAGAACTCAGCATTGGATGGTTTGAGCCCTAAAATGTGTTATTTGGCAGGTGACCCCTTAACTCCCAGATCAAATTTGTAATTCTCCTTACTGTCAATCATTTAATTCTTATGATGCTGGTTCAGAGAATTTAGTATAGGATCAATGATTACCTAGTTAAAAAATCAGTGTCAATGACTAATTACAAAAAAATAAAAAATTGCTCCAAACTCATAATAGAAATAAGATAATTATGATAAAAAAAATAATTGAACAATTTCTTGCATAAGACTGGTAAGGTGTTAGACTCCCTAATGTTGATAGGTACCACTGAAGGTTCCACTAGCTACCACAGTAGTACCTCTTTCTACTAGCAAGCCCAAGTGAGTGCTGGGAAACTGGCATGGAAATCTGAAGAAAGAAAAGCATCCTTTCATGGGCGTAGCCAAGAATTTTCATAGGGGAGGTCTCAGTTAGGAATTTCCGCACACCTGACGTGAAGTGGCTTATCCCGCCACCATACAGTCAGGAAATGACTGGCATCCGAGTACATTATCTACTGAAGCAAGGGATTTATTCTATGCAGATTTCTCGGATTTGTGCGATTACATGTCCTGAATTGTATGACTTGTATGTTGTTGACTTAACAAGAAAAACTTATCCCACCAAGGGGGGAAAGGATTACAGTCACTCCAGGACCCACCCCTCTAGGGCACCTGAAGGCACCTCCCGGCCTTTACAAGAGGATCAGAAAGAGCTGATCCACCCCCCCACCTCCCTGCCAAAGGCACTCTCAGGGAACCCCCCCTTACTTTAACAGAAGGATCAGTGCTAAAATTCACTTTAAAGTAAACAAACTATGTAAGTAATAGAAGGCATGGAAGTTAGTCTTGTATACAGACTTTCGTATTTTTTTTTAATGAACAGGACATGGTGGTGGAACCTGAGCAGGAGAAAGCTGCCCGAAAAGAGAGTATTCAGAATCTTTATGCATTCGATTTGTTCTGTCAGAAGAAGTTTGATGATTCGTTGCAGCTCTTTGCCCAGTTAGAGACAGGTTAGTTATTTCCTATTTGCGCAAATTTGGTTCTTGTATCGTCAACAATGGTGCAGTTTGAAATGAAAGTTTATGAAAGTATGTGTTTGAAATGCAAAAATTTAGCCAAATGATGAAACGATCTTTGTGATGATGTTGTAATTTAGGTGGCTTTTAAGTTGCAGAAGAAAAGCTCCAATTTTTAAGTATGTGAATGGAGCTCTAGGGTGTGATTATTCAGATGAAAGTGACTGAACAATTCTTTCATGTAGTACAATTTTAAAAGTATTGTGCTGTATAAGGTGGTTCTGACTTAAAAGTCTACGAATGAAATATCCACGAGCTTCCTTCCAATTGGAAGCAACTGAACTCTTCTTTTGCAAGGTTCTTTTTATAACAATGCCTCTTTGTTTTTCTGTCCGCAGACCCAGCACAGGTTATTGGCCTGTTTCCTGATCTTCTCCCAAGTGAATTTCGAAAGCTTCTTGAGTACCCTGCTCCACCACCCCAGTTGACTCCGGGGGAGCTGGAGAAAGGCTGTGTAGCGCTTGTTGAATATTTGACTAAGGTAGAATTCAGATAGTTGCATTCTCCATATTTCAAAATTATAACCAGCTGGTTACCAATGTAACAGAAAGTTGATTGTTTTTGTTTATTCATTGCTCAGTTTGCTATGTTAACCCTTTGACTCCCACAAGTGATTAGCATGTAACTTCTCCCTACAACATCCGTACATTATTCAGCAAACAGGTGATGAGAAACCTCAGACTTATCAGATAGCAATTGCTATCTTGATCGAACACCAAATTCTTGTAACTAACAAAGAAATGTGTCGTAGCCGGAGGGGAGAATTGACAATTCGATCTTGGGAGTTAAAGGGTTAAACTGTGCCCTACTCTCACTTATACAACTCTTGGTACAATATAAATGTTTTCCTCACTAGAAACGAAACGAGTTGATCAAAAATAGCGACAAGACAGAAAGCTTGCAGAGGGCAAGAAATAAAGATTCTACCAAAGAACCCAGTAAAGGTATTTCACTCTTATAACTCAAGCATTACGTAAAGAAATGAAGAGACAAACTTTTGCTTCGGAGTGCACTACGACTTAGTGTCGCGAAACTAAATACGAGGTAAAGGGGGTTAGTTTCTAAAGAAACTGTGGTGCTGCGTCGGTGGGAGAGTATAGCAGGGTAATTTTGTAATATCAACTGAGTTAATGTCTTAAATTGGCTACCGTAAAGAGTTTAAAAGCTGACGTTTCAAGCGGTAGCCCTTCGTCAGAGCAATTGAATACTTCGATTAAATACGAAGTAATCGCTTTAGCCAATGAGAGAAGAGGAAATATCACAACGAGCCAATGAGAATTCAAAGTAAAACCAAGCAAACTGAGCATTGCGCGGGAAAAACGCGGGTGACCAAGTCGCGATTGGTTTTAGTTTGGATTCTGATTGGCCGAGAAAGTGGCGCGAGTTTTCTCGACCAATCATAGAGCGAAGGAAAGCAAAACTGCAAAACTAAAGCAGTCCTGGATTACGCTTACCACCTTTGTGATCATTTGAACAGTATCTGTAGCTCAGTTGGTAAAACTTGGTAGAACTACACATGGGCTGATACTAGTTTTTACAACGGTACTAGCTGCTCCATTTTGCAGGGTAAATAAAGTTATTAACTTCCCATTTTTCGTTGTCCCTCGTTTAAGAGGTATGCTTAACATCTTTTCTTTTTATCTTCTTTCTTAATCTTTGTAGCTGATATAAAGGCTCAAAAGAACTTAGAGCACAAAAGACAAATCATCGATACTACTCTACTGAAATGTTACTTGCAGGTTGGTACTGTTGGTATTTAAATAGATTATTGAAGAGCAAATAGATAAGTCGATCTTAAGCCAGCTCACACCTACTAACGAATTTCTTACGCATAACGAAAAAATGAGTGACTAAACTGATCCAGAGGAAGAAAATTATTCGTAAACAGTGAACTTTGTTTATGTAAAACACCTAATTTAAGAGAGGAAAGAACTGGAGAGAAAGTAGAGTCAGAACTCTACTGAATGTCTACGGAAAGTTTCGTAATATCCTCGGAAGTCTTCGGTTATGATCGGTTCCTTTTAAGAAAATTCGCAGAGATCGCCCACCTTCCTCTCGCCCAACGACCCCCTCCCTCCACTGGTAGGAAACCGGGTTATTCACTCCCCAACCTCCCCCTGCATGTCACATTTTGTATAGAAGCGATGAGCGCTGGCCTAGTTTACTGCTGCTTCGCATGATATGAAATGAATAGCCGCTGAACTAGGGCACACTAGGTCTACCCCTCTGAGGTCTTCCTGTACTTTACCTGAGGGAGGAGGGGCGCCTGTTGGAAGCTGGGCGCTAAACCAGACCTTAAAGTAAGTAAAAAAAGGAAGAATGTTTAGTTAAGTGTTAGGTACCTCGAGCGCAGTGTGCACAAAACTAGGGACACTCTAGGTCTATTGAAATTAGTATAGGTAATCACATGATTTCGATTTGGAATAAATAAGCACGAGTAAATGCTTTCAAAGAGTAACAAAATTGCACGAGTCCGTATGCCGATTGTAATTTGTGGTCTTTTAAAAAATTTGCAAGTGCTTATTTATTCCAAATTGCACTCGAAAAATCATGTGATGACGTATTAATAATATCCATGAAAAATACGAGATAACTTATCATAATTATGCAGAAGTAAAGCGCGCGCATCAAGTGCAAAAATAATTTATTCAAACCCAGCAAGTGACATGGTGCGTTCGGTCAAAACAACCGCGTACGATCAAAACAATGAAATACAATGATATTTTCACATCTTTAAGGCGCAAAGAAGCTCAACGTGTGGCTGAACAGTTCAAGTAATTAATCAGTCTAGTTTGGTACTACTTTGCACTGGAATTGAGTAATTTTTTCATGTACCTTGTTAAATGGTAAATAAACGTTTTCTATAACATAAAAAACACACAAAGTTTTAAATAGAAAGACAACTAGACAATGTAAATTTCTCCTTCTGCTGAAATGACGTGAATCACTTTGTGTTCGTTTCCCCTTCAGACAAACGATGCCCTCGTAGCGCCACTGCTGAGGTTGAAAGAAAACTTCTGTCATGTAGAGGAGTGTGAAAGAGTTCTAATGAAAAGTAAAAAATACAATGAATTGGTGATACTCTACCAGGCTAAAGGTCTTCATAAAAAAGGTTGGTTGTGCTGTGGTACATTGGTTATTACTGTGAGTGATGTATTGCAAGAGTGATAATTTTTGCCTCTTCGGCCTCAGCAAAATGGTAACCCACATATTGATATGTTTCTGTTTGCTCCTGTGATTGAAGTAGTTATTCTCCGTATTTTTGTGTCTTATGCCCCATTCACATCAGCATAACATGTTTATTTCAACCGCATTTTACTGAATGAAAATCAGAAATAGGAAACGGAAAGACTGAATCCTCCATTGGTCTCAAATAGCCACTGACTTGTATTTTCAACGGGCTAAATTTGAAGCCGACCAACATCGTTTTAAGCAGCTTCTATGAAGGAAACAAATTTAAACCGTGTTAAACAAAACAGCTTTAAGACTTATTTAAGCTTTTGCTTGAATGGAGTATAAGTTTCAAAAAATTGTTTTTTTTGATTCCACATCCCTGGACAATGAAATTTATATTATATGAAAAAGCTCCGTACTGATCACAAGAGGGAGTGAAAGAGTTAGGCAGTGAACAAGAAAAGTAAAAAATGGTCAACTGAAACTGCCCTGGTGGTTTTTATAGATATTTGACCTCTTTTGGCTTGTTAGTGTCTGTTGAGAGAGTTTCGATCGTGTTTCGTCCACAGATGTCGAGATATTTTTATAACCTATCATATTTTACTTTCAGCCCTAGACCTTTTATTGAGACAGGCTCAGAAAAGCAGCGGTCCACTCAAAGGCCACCAGAAAACAGTGCAATATCTCCAGCATTTAGGTAATCGTCAGCAATAAAACAAACAGACTTCATTTTTCCGTGTGTATATAAAGTGGTAGGTAACGAAAGACGTCAAAATATGGTACATCAGTAACACACTTGACTGCGCCTCGTGTACCACGTTTTTGTTTTGCCACAATTTGACTTCATCTGTGATTTATTGCTGAAAAGACACATTGCAACGTAGAGAAAAAAAGAATAGAAAAATGTATAGTGTTATCGTTCTCAAATGTGTTCCTTTTTTTTCAGGTCATGAACACTTAAAGCTTATATTTGATTTTTCCGTCTGGGTTTTAAAAGCACACCCTGATGACGGATTAAAGGTAACTTCTAAAGATTTCAGTTAAAGGAAATATGTTTTTTTCGTCTCGCCACGAGCGTGGGGCAAAGAAAAAACTCTGAGTCGACTTTAGGAAACTTTCTTATTTTCAATTTGGTTTACTGATGGAAATCTTTACCAGAACTCTCATAAGCCAAAAAATAAATAAATAACTGATTAATATGTAGGATTTTGCGCAAGTTTTGTCCAAATAACACACGTCTATTGTAAACAGAAGGCGAACAACGTTGGCAAATGTTGAAATGCTTGGAAATTTAACGTAAGTGGACGAGCTGGACTCGATTTTCGTTGTGGAAATTTCTTAGGGGTTTTCAGCGAATGTTTGAATTTCCGCAAGAAACCCTCTCTGATAAATTAGTCAGACCGTATTATTATTATTATTATTATTATTATTATTATTATTATTTTGCTCCAATACTTTAACACACGTTGATAAATACATGGTTTTCTAAGTTTTATAATGAGCAAAAACCGTATCAAAAACTCATATTTTTCCCCAAGATCAAGCTCAAGAACCTTTCCTCCTTTGTCTTCCTAGATATTTACAGAAGATTTACCAGAAGTCGAAGGCCTACCACGCGATAAAGTACTGGCTCACATAGAACAGTGCGCGAAACAGTTGACCATCAGATATTTGGTGTGTACAGTGAAGTCTAACTTGTACTTAACCCTTCACAACCTTTACATCAGTTCGCATATTCTCCATACTGTTCTCGATATATATCCGAAGAGTTGACAATGAGAATTTGTCATGAAATCAAGGTCTTCGTGAGTTCGTGATCATTTCCTTATTCTCATGACCTTAATGTTTGATTCAAGGGTGATATTGTATGGAGAAATTAGATGCTAGTCATTCTTAGGGGTTAGGGGGTTACGTAAGGTGTGAATTCACGAAGTTTCTCCCTTTTTAGGAACACATAATCTTCCTGTGGAATGAATCAAAGCCCGAATTTCACAACAAGTTGATCAACTGCTACCGTGAAAGAGTGCAGGTGTTGATGAGAGAGTATTTAGATTCGTTACCGACAGGTTCGTATCTGCTTTGAAGGCAGTTATTCTTTTTTCGTCGGTTGGCGAAAGAAAAGGGATAGTCTGTAAAGTTTATGCCCAACAAGGAGCCGAAGCCGATCACGGTTGCTCTACCATGAATCGACCAGGAGTATTGCCTCAACCCTCCGGGTGGGATTCAGGTTTATGTTACCCCCTCCCTCCTAGCACATCATCAGGTTCATCGAGTTCGCCGGTAGCCATTTACCCTCCAGGCTGGTTAGAGGTGTTTTGTAGGTAAATTGTCTTGCACAAGAACACAGCACGATGACCCAGAAGGGTGTGGTTCACTTATCACAACCCTGGTAGAAAGAGGAGGTCCCAGTTCCCACTCAACAAATCAATCCTCAGGTCCTCGGGTTATTTTCTTTAGTCGACAGTCGACCCCAAAATTTATCATTCTTCATAACCCTGTACACCCTAACATCGGTATCCATGTTCCTCATTCCGTTTTCTCTACACTTCCTTTGATGCTGACAAGGAGAACTCGTTTAAAAATCAAAGCTTATTTGGTTGGTGATCATTTCCTTTATTCTCATGACCTTAGTGTGTGATTCAGGGCTGATAATACAAGGGGAGATTAGATGCTAATCACTCTCTTAATAATAGAGAAAAGGAGAAGCCTTTTAAGAAACATTCTTGATAATGGTCACGTGGTTTATTTGTCAGGTGACGAGCCTGTTCCTCCCGGAAGTGAACCAGGTGAACTCGGAGAACTGAGAGGAAGATTGCTCTTCTTGTTAGAGACTTCAAAACATTATCAAGCGCAGCATCTATTAACGCACTTCCCAGAGAGTGAGTCGTCTCATTTTTCTTACCATTGAGAATTTGGAGCCTTTTTTCAAAGACTTATTGTGCGAGAAATAATAATCTTACAAGCATAGCTCCAAACAAATAGTTCGCGCCAAAACTGATGCAGAGTTTGCGTTCCCGCCAAACTGACGCAGCGTTTGCGTTCCCGTCAAAACTGAAACAGCGTTTGCGTTCACGCCAAAAGTGACTCAACGTTTGTTTTCCCGCCAAAACTGACGCAGTGGTCAAGTAAAAGGCGCGATGTTTGTGTGTTGCTTTTCGATTTTCTGCCAAAAGTGTCCCCAAATGTTCTAAAGATGCAATTTTTTTCGTGTTCCCTTCTTTCTCGCAGGTTTTTATTACGAACGAGCTCTTTTGCTTGGACGAGTAGGAAGGCATGAGGAAGCTCTGGCTATATATATCCACATTTTACATAACACCAAACTTGCTGAAGAGTAAGTCCCCTGTTGCTAGTGCCTTTTAATTGAGTTTCGTCAAACCAGAGGCAAAGTAATCACAACGGCTTAAAAAATAGTGTTGTATTAAGTGCCGACAGTAATCCGTGACTGCTTTGGATTCGTTTTACTTTGATGGATGATAGCTTCAAAACTCGCAGCACTCTCAAATTAGTTTTGTAACTAAAACTAATCGCGATTCGTACACTTGCGTTGTCTCGGGCTGGCAGTTGACTTGTTTATTGGCTGTCGTGATTACTTTGCCTTTAGTTTTTACGATATTCAAGCGAGGCTTTCAGTTTAACGATGTTCAAGCGAAATGTGGTCTAATTTTTACTACCTGAAGCGCGGGAATACGTGACTGACCAAGTCGCACCTTGTGTAAGTTTTGCATCTGATTGGCGAAGAAAGTGGCATGATTTTTCTGGACCAATCACAGACCATAGAGATGCAAAACAATGCAGTTTAGGATTACTTGGGACACTCATACTGTAATTATAAAAAATGGCCGGGTAAGCATAATTTATGGGCATCACAAGCTCACTAAATTGTAAAATAAGGGCTTCCGTGTGTTCCGCTTAAAATCGCCACAAGAATTATGTAAATTAACCTCGCGTGAATTTCGCACCATCTAACGCATGTCAGGACACTTTTAATACAGCATTGTGGTCTTTTTTCCTTTTAGGTATTGTCACCGAAATTATAACGAAGGCCGGGAGGGCAGTAAAGATGTAGGTGTATTGACTTGATTTTGATAACTTAACTTTGTACTGGTCAGCCATTGCAACTCTGATCCCCGCATTACTGTTTTTTTTTTTTCGATGAAATACACGTATTTGTTTCGTAAAAAGACTAGAAGTTAGATTAGGTTTTCTGAGTTTAGGTTGTCTAAACAACGACTATCTGTGATTGGTAGGTGTACGTGTCCTTATTGCGCATGTACCTGGCGCCTCCTGAGATAAGCGGCAAGGAAAATATGAAACCGAACATTGATGAGGCGCTAGACGTACTTCAGGAACATCACTCAAAGATAAGTACTGCTAAGGTGCGTATAACTGTCGTGTCGCACGTGTTTTTAACCATTGTGCAGCACATGCGTGCAGTCATTGTGTCGCATGTGCGTGCAACTATTGTGTCGCATTTGCGTGCAACCATCGTTTCGCACGTACGTGTAACCATTGTGTCGCAAATGCGCGTAACCTTGTGTCGCAGGAGCGTGTAACCATTGTTTCGCACGTGTGTATGACCATTTTGTCGCACATTGTGTGTAACAATTGTGTCGTACGGTTTATGTATGAGTCACTGACTCTGCAGTTTTGATTGCTTTGTGCTTCTCAGATCTTACATGCACAGCGCAATTTATAACAAAAAAGTGAAGCATTACTGGCTGAGACCAATACTCCAACGTACCTAAGAGGCAGTGGTGTATTTCAGATACGTAGAAATGCCCTCCCATTTTGAAGGATTTCTTCCGATTTGATACGAATCCGTTTCACATCGGACGTTTTTTTTGGACGTATAAATTCGGACGGCCCCTTCTTTCGGGCGCCCGCGTCTATTTCAGGACGATCTTGTCCGTTTTGGGATGGCTCGGTCTAATGTCAGACGGTTCCGTTTAGTGATCGCTGGTGTTTTGAATCTTCAGGCACTTGAACTACTTCCTCCATCTATTCAAGTGAGGGAGGTTTACGCGTTTTTGCTCAATGTTCTGGAAGACAAAGAAAGGAAACGGAGGAATTCTCAAGTGTTAAAGAGCCTTCTGTTTGCCGAGCATCTACAGGTAGGCTGAGGAACACTACCTCTTCTTTGTTAAGGGGTCAGAGTTTACAATCTAACTGCACGATCTTTCCCGACAGGTTCAAGAACAACGTATGCATTATCAGGGGGGTAAAATACTCCTGACCGATGAACGAGCTTGTCGGGTATGTCACAAGAAGATCGGAACAAGGTGGGAAACATTGACAGTCCTATTTGGTCTTTTTCTTTACATCGCTCGCGGTTAACGTTGTTTCTTATTTGTTTCTTTTTTCCAGTGCCTTTGCATATTACCCCACGGGCGAAATACTTCACTACTACTGCTGCAAGAACCTTACCTCCCCCCCAAACAGTGAGCACACGACCCCCCGGGGTAGCCCAACCCCCGAACATAATATGTTACAAAGATACTGATCAAATGCGATGCAGTTCGTCATCACGTGCGCATCATGCATAAAACACGTGACAAGTTAGGAAGTGCAGATGTACGCTGAGGTGTTATACCACGTGTATTTCACGTGATGCGTAATAAATCAACATGTATTTCGTAATCAAACATTCAAAATCTTCACAGAATATTTATCTAAGGGAAAAAAATTGGAATTTCACAATTGAATCGGTAATCAAGCAATGTTGCCGTAGCTTTGCTCTGTATAGTAACCTGATTGGCTAGTCATGTAGTCAATCAGCTACAAAACCAAAACCAATCACGTGTTGGTCACGTGCGTTTGTCCGCACTTGACCTCTAGATTAGTACTTAGATCACTTGATGCCGTTAAAGAGAGTTAAAATAATTTACTCAGAGATAATGATCTAATGTTTAAGTCACTACCAGAAATGAAAATGTACCCAAAAGTTACAATTAGAATTCATGTCACGACAAAGAAAACAGCTTGGTTGTCACGCAATATCCTTTGTTAGATGTTTCGTTACCAATCATTTGAGCTGTGGCGTCACAGAGTATGTTTAGTTACATATATATTTTTTAAAAATAGAAATATTTACCGTATGAATGTTGAATAAAAGAGATTGAGGGTGTTTCACATGTGTTGCACGACTATCCTCTCGTAAAATGTAATTGAATATTCTATTGAAATTGGCATTTTCAAGGTAGTTAGATTCGCAAATAACCTGAACGGAGGGAGTCCCTTCAAAATGGCCGTATTTAGCGAGTTAAAGATGAATACTGGGAGAAAAATTCTTATTTCTGAAACTTACCACAACGCTCGTATTCCAAGTTCATTTGTGGACCCTCACTCAGTTAACCATCACTTTCCTCAAAGTCGATCCCGAATGTACACGTGCTCGTGACAGAGGTATCAATTAATGCCTTAGCTCACCATCGATTTCTCCCTAGCCCTGTGAGACGGCATCGGACCGCATTCGAATGTATGGGGTTCGATTCATTATGGGGGACTCAGATATTTTCTTTGGCCTACGCCCTAATCGTGAGTTTTGTTTTCAGGCAGTAAACAGGCAAGTGAATGTAGTTTACATGAACAATAAGATTTATTTATGGACTGGTCAATAACAAGCCATATTACCTGGCATTAAATAACGACAGAAAATTTATGAGATATGCTTTTTTTTTTCTTCGCAAGCTGAAGTGATAAATGCAATCGTATGACAGCAATTCCGAAAGAAGTAGCGAAACCCCTCCAGAAAAGTGGCAGAACCTTGCTTAACTTTTTAAATTTTTTCACTGTTCTACTATCCTTACGCTTAAATTTAATTTCGTTTGCAGCACTCTTTACTAAGCAGTAGTCTATATCAATGCAATTCTTAGCTGATGACATTGTCAATACTGTAAATGGCTAACCAAAAACAAAGCAAACAATATTTGAAAAAAAAATTTTGTCACAAAAAAACTCAAAACCTTCTTCGATTAAATCAGTCCCACAATTATAGCCCGCCTAGAAAACAATTGCACCCTAAGCAAAGGAACTAAATTGCCTGGGGGCTCCTGATGATGATCAATATGGTACTGGGTACCTTCCCCAATATGGTGGTGGTGGATAATAAGGCAGAGTACTCCAAGGCGAGAATGAGGAACACGGGTACTTTGACGGCAGCTCAGTTCTCAACACCAGAGGAGTGTCGGGACAGGTGGGAGGACGACAGTCGCAGTCAGGTGGGTAACTATGGAAACCGTGCTGCATGGAATATGCAAGGTTACTCAGGAATGATAGTTTGGTTCTGCGTTCGACGTCCTCAGCTCGTTTTCTCTTTTGTTTCATTCGCCTGTTTTGGAACCAGGTTTTTACCTGTATTTTGAGAGGAAAAACAATTTTGCTGTTTGAACGTCACAGAATAAGAGCGTGGAAATAATCAGACATCTGCTACCAACTTAGCGCAAGGTTTAACGACCAACCCTAATGCGGAGTAAAGCAAAACTAAGCAATTCAGGATTACTTTGAAACTCATTTGAGAATTGGGCTAATCGTGATGAATTGGTGTTTTCTTGTGCGCGAGAATTTAACAGCACTTCATACTCGACCTTGGACAATTTGCATGGAAACTGTTGCGTCCAAGAAATGAAATAGATTTTCCCTTACTTGCGCAAGGTGATCCCTTGATTGGTATTTTAAGCAGAGAATAAGACCCAATATCATACCTGTGTCTCAGTCATCTGAAGCTGCTCTGCAAGTCCTTTGCCTGTCTCTGGAGCCCAGGTATTTCTGTCGTTCAAAAACTCGTTCTAATTGCAACACCTGCTCCACTGAGAATGAAGAGCGGGACTTGCTGGATTGCGCTGGGTATTTATCTTTGAATTCTTCAGCAGCATCTGAACAATCAAAAACAGCAAACTTTAAATCTCTCAAGATAATTTGGTTTTATTAACTGAGTTGATCATGTAAATTGGCCATCGTTGACAGTTTCTAGAGCTGACGTTTAGAGCGTTAGCCCTTCGACGGATCATCACAGTTTCTTTAGAAACTTACCCCCCCCCCCTGTAAACCTGCAAAATTGGTGTGTTCACAATTAGGTAGCTAAAATTACGCGCACTTGCAAGAAGGAGCCAAACACGTTCGTGATTCAACTGACAATTGCAAATGACAAACCATAACAAATGTCACTAAAAATAAAACTTAAAGTGTAGCAAGTCTTTAATCCGTTGAAATATCTCGAAAAAAAAATAGATTTGGCCTCAAATGTTCGTTCCTAACAAGTTTGCATTTGAAGACTTTCAGCTTATAATTGTATTCGCTCACAGAAAGGAAAACTATCAAAAAAAGTTTCATTTCATTATAAGTAAGTGGAATAGTTGATCACCTAGAAAAAACACCTTGATCAAGCGCAAAGAGTCATGCTTGAGTTTATCTTCTTTTGAATACACAAGTTTTGTTCATGCGAATTTGAAACGAAACAATTGTACGGCAATTTTTCCTCTTCTTTTAGATCCCAAATCCTCTTAGATGAAACTATTTCAAATCGTTCAGAGTTCCTGTGACGAACACTCATGATTGTTTCAGTATTTTAGGGTGTAGGAAATCAAGAAAGAAAAGTTTAACCAGGAGAACGCACCTTTCTTGTCGTTGTAACACATTTCAACTTGAGAATTTTCGTCAACATTCTGCTGAGGTGAATCACTCGCGTCCAAAGATGGTTTACCTAACACTTTTGCTTTGTTCCCAGACACGTTAACAGACAGTAAAGAATCTTTGATTTCTTCAGGATTCTCCTTCCAAAGAGAGCCATCTTGTTTATCTTTCATACTGCTTAACATTGACGTTCACCTCGCCAATATGAGTTGCTCGATCGAAAGCTAATTTGCTTTGAGCTTGTTGCTTTCGAAGCAGACTGTTTTAAATTTGCCGCCCACTTCGCTGTTTGCTTTGATAAACCCGCCAACACGCTGTAAAGTTTTTCTCAAAGACACCGATTGAAGTGTGAATAATCGGTATTTGCAAAGGACGATTCAGTTTGTTTGTTGTTTATCTCGTGAAGGTCGGTTGTTTACGATCAGAGTTCATAGATACCGCTTAAAACATCACAGATCGGAAACATTCCATCGGAGCTTTTTATCGGCAACTTTAGAGAAATTGTTTCGAAAGAGACAAACATGAAAAAAGTGAAAAATCACAGTGAATTCAATAAAAATCATGTAATGTTTGAATTTACTAAATCAACAGCGAGAAACTCGATGTTTAGTCTGGGCTTTGAAGATTGATAAGGCATGACAGAAAAGTGGAAATAATTTTCCTTTACCATAAATATCCGTAAAATGTGCTGCCATGCGCTACCCGTTGCTGTCCAACAGGTGTGTTTTTCTCCGCAGAAATGAAGAGACAATGGCCGTTTTACTTTAGAAATTGGAGCAGGTTTTACTTCCGCACGGAAAAATATGGCCTGATAAAAATATCAGCCTTGGTAAATTCATGCTGTTATTAGAGTCATACAGTAATTTGCAGATGTAATGTAAACGGCAAACGAGGTCCGAGGAACGAGGTGAATCTTGCCAGCTTTACATGCGTATAATTATTAATGGTAATAGGACCGAGTGGAGTCCAATTCGGTTCGTAATTATACAAGTGCAGGAGTCCGATTTTGGTTAATCACGAGTATGATTTCAGACAGAATTGGACGACACGAAGTCCCATTACCAATTAATCAAAACTATGACAAAATTTGAGAGAGAAACTAGAAATTGGTTAACAAAAACAACAACAACAGTTAACTCAGTGAAATGCGAGACAACAGCGCGCGCAAATGACGCGTTCTATCCACTAACACTGGCATGACGTGTTGACTGTCCCTTTGTCTATTTTCCGCGGGCATGAGCTCGCAGAAAATGGATTGCAAGAATTACTATTTAATTTGACTATAAAGGGAGTAACATTTACAATAGTAATCAGAAGACATATGTCAACACCTTGAGTCCTTCACCGTAGAAAAACTCCCTATAAATTTATGTGAAGAAAATAAATTTCCAAAGAGAGAAATTGCGCACAAAGATCTATATAATTGATTGGATTTTTATCATCAGGTAGGCTGATGCATCTCGTGCGCCCCTTTAAACGGAGCTTGACAGACGAGGCTTGTTAGGTAATTGTGTCTATCTATCTATTATAACGCGTACGAAAATTCAAAATGATTCGTTTTGAATATTTAGTTTTAGTTACTGTACATTTCTGAAGTAAGTAATTCAGTTGAGAATGTGTCTAATCAAATGCGCGCATACTTCTCTCGGGCGAAAGCAGGGCCAAAGCATACATATTTGCGCGCTCTCTGAGCAAGATGTTTAGACACCCCAGGGAAAAAGAGTAAAGATGGTCATTACTCGAACTGGAAATTTTTCCTGTAAACATATATTTTATTTAACTTTTGATCTGTGTATTATAATACTATGGTTGACAAGCGTTATGACTTTTTCATTTTGTTTAGTTTTGTAACTGGGTATGTTTAAAAAAATCTCTTATTCAGGTCTGAATAAGAGTTTCAATCAGCAGCTGCAACAGTCCCTCCCACATTTTCCCAGGAGCACCCCAGGGGAGTGGGGACGGAGTGATCAACTCACAGAAGTGTTATACGTAAGCAGGAGCCCATGGGCTCCTGACGTAAGGTGGAGGCTTACCGACATCTGGTAACAAGGCTCTGATATAAGAAAAGCTTTCATATCAATGTTGATTGGCTTTAATTTTTTAATCAAGAATAAATCCAAGATTAAAAAGCATAAAGCAAGCACAATTGTCGGTAAAATTCATAAAAAAAAGCTATTTTAGTTTCGATCAAAGAATGTTGATTTAGATTTAAAAGCGCCATTTTCAGGAAATGCAAAAAAGAGCGGTTACTGAAATATTCCGGCTTTTATGTTGCCGGATTGATCAAATCGATAATGTCACTTACGAATTTAAACATTTTAGGCAACCTTCGCCCTTTTTGAAATGGTGTACGTGTTTTTTGTTTTGTTTTGTTTTGTTTTGTTTTTTTTTTTAACAATGGAAGCCTCCAGCGAATTCGCGAACCAATGCTAGTTATATATGTAGTATGTCTCTAGATGTTTAATCTTTTGGCAGGTATATATTTGAGATCTTTGTTCGAAAATCTATAAAATTTTATTACTCATATTTTTTTTTATTTAGAAATCGTGAGAAAATAGCCGACTATGTGGCATAGCCTTGTATTGTGAATAAATTCAGGTTAATTTAAAACAATTCAACAATTGTCAAACACTGAAGTTTGAATTGCTAGTAAAAATTTGGATAGTATCCGATAGTGACAGCCTTTTTTTTCGCCGCGGGCGGACAGAACGTATTGAAAGAAGCTGTTAATTTAAATGATAATGTCACATCAACTTGCAGGTGAGTGGGTCATCCTTGAACACTGCATCAATTTGCCAGGATCTTCGTTCCAGCCAAGCCTGATGAACACAAAATTACACTCTTCGTTTTAAGCAGTTGGACAATCTGCTTTCCGCGCACTGGCTTTCCTTACAGGTAACTGCTTAAATAATTTGTTACCTTTGTGAATGACCGGCTTTTCTAAAGGTTGAAGTGACTGTTTTCATCGAAGTAACAATCATTCCTTTTGTAGCCAAGCTGATATTTCTATGAAACCTTCAGGAGAATTGTTATAGACACCTTCTAAACTCGTTCTTGTCGGCTGAACTCGCGGTGTTTTCAAGGATTGCTCGTATAAGTTTTTTTTGCGCTTGATATATGCAAAAATTGACTCTTAAAAGGTTTTTACGTCATCGGTATCACTCTACTGATCCTATCTCACCTCTAGTTTTTCTTAAACAACTTTTTAAGCACTGAAATTCTCGTTGTGCGAGTGTTCTTTTCCTGGCCAATCTTGTACATGTGCAGGGACAATTGACTACTGCAAGACCGCCACGATATAGAAACCACAATTTAAAGTCATGGTTTATTTGTTACGTAACTAAACTTCACTTCGAGAAGAAGAGCATTGGAGCTAGATCAGTTTTGTTTTATCGTTATCCAGATAGTCTTGCGTTTACAAAAGAAGAAATACAGCTTTTTGTCGGTTCTGTAATTTTGCATGTTAGCTCGATTTTTGTTAAGAGCGAGATGTAGCTTTCTCAAATTTCGACATTGCAAAAGCACTTCTTATACCCAGCATCTAACAATAATACTTTAATGGTGAAAGAACATATTATCGATCGATATTCAAATTATAAAAAAAATTTTGGTGTAAAATGACTTTTTAAAAAAATATGGCCCACCGAATGCCGCGACTTAAATTACAGACTGTTAAAAAAGTCTCTAACTGTTCAGAACATTTTCATAAACACAACTAATTCAAGACAACAAGACAGCGAAAAATTTGGATTTCATTACAAAGTTCAAAGACACGTTGCGCATATAAATTGCAAATTAAACTAGGAATTGCAATACTATATACCATACCCTGGGAGTCATTCTCAGCAATGAAATAATGTTTCAAGAACATCCTGGAGTTAAGAACAATACTTTTTTTGGATTTGAAAAAACATCGCGTGGATTCTGTTGTACTCTTTTTCACCTTTCGATGTGAAAAAGAGACTTGAGATGTTTAATAAGTCATAATGTTTTCACTTTGAAGATAAAAGTTTCATTATAAATTTAGTGTAATTGAACACCTGCAAACCTTGAGTGAAAAGTATTTCGCAAGGCAATTTGACTAAGGCCCTTTAATTTAACCCTTTAGCTCCCGGGAGAGACCAAGAATGAATTTCTCCTCACATCACCCGTATATTTTTAAGCACAAAGGTGATGAGAAGTGAAAATTGCCAATTGGATCAGCTAGAGGAAAATTCTGTGATTGACCACCAAGTTCTTAGATTTACAATTGTATGTGGTGAGTGACAAACAGACTAGAGAGCCCTTTTTAGATCTTGAGAGTAGACAGGTCAAAAGATCTCACCAACAAATTCAAGTCTTATCCAGAAATTGCACGTATGAATTTAACTCAAAAGAATAATGCGTTATACGATGGAAGATATCAATTTAATAACAGAAGCAGTATTTTACAAGGAGGGGAGCGGGTGTTTAACTAGTCTCACGAGAGTATTGAAGGGCATGTTTTTCATTAAAGACAGCAACCTCGGAAACGAGATACAGGCCATACGAGATTATACAGACCGACTGTTCCTTGCATCACAGACCTCTGTAAACATAAAACCCAGAGATAACTCAAGGTTGGCCACGCAATTTTAATTGCAAGGTCTTCATGGTAGATTGGCGCATGGCGATAGGAGGGGCGGAGGGTATCACGTTCAAATCAATCGATGACTTGGAAAAATATATGTAAAACTCTTTCATGCGCGAGTTCATAAACTCTAATTATTCAAGAGTCAGTAGTTAGGGTAGCACATCGGAACCAGTCGGGGTAGTTGTGCGTACGCTGGAAAGTATTGAAATACAATAATTTTAATATATATATGGTTAGGAAAAATGAAGATCGAGAGAGCCTCTGGATTCCAAGTAATATAACCCTTACTGTGTTTTAAGTAAGCACCACTATTATTGAATTGAAATGTCAAGGTATGCAAATTTCCCAAGCCAAAGTTGAAGCGCAGCACGCAGCGCGCACACAGCACAAACTCAACACGCACACAGCACGTGCAGTTCATGCCGAGAACAAAAGTCATCGGAAGGGTGAGATGAACATCAAGCAACAGAAAGAAAACTGCATATCTAACAGTATTTTGGTATTTCCCGGAATAACCCGCATAGCTGTTGCAACGCAAACATGAAAGAGAAAATTTTATGA